TGCCCAAATGGAAACTGACCTCGATACAGAGTGTTTGCGATGACGAACACGGCGATTTCATCGTCGTCTGGAAGGGCGTTGACACTGAGAGGAGCGACGAGCAATTGGGGGACTGCTGTAGAACGACTTGTAGATTGATAGAAGATAATAATATTGAGGCAATGACAATGCGAGGGCAAGGGCAGTAGTGGGGTTGCAAGGGGAAGGATGGAGGGAGAGGAAAAGAAGGGGTGCTGTGTTGCTCGACACAAGTCAGGTCTTATATAGGCAGGATAAGCGAGCGGCGCACTTGTAAACATGTTCGCGTTGCGGCGGAATCAACAAACAAAAAAATTCACATGAAAACTTCCATCTATCAAGTGACGTTACCGCGGGCATGCACGCCGCCCGACAGTTTGTTGAGATGCAAATACGCGATTTCGTGTATTCCCCGTTCCAACAACATTGCGCTGGCGGCCGCGGTCTGGCCACCCGATCATCGCGGGAATGTGTTTGGGGCTGTGGTACCTATCGTATGCGCCTGCCTCTGTCGTAATCAGAGCAAATTTGACTCCAGCAGAGGGTTATCTTGTTTCTTATTTACAACGAGAAAGAAGTGGGTTGTATGCAAGGGATAGCTGCGATGAAGGTGTGGATAACATTTATTCAAGCCGAACATTGTTTCCCACGCTCGGAATTGGGCGATCGGGGCTGAACTAGAGGGAAACCAGCAGTTGTTGGTACTGTTACCTTATCGGGATGCTATCTGGAGTGTGCTGAATCACCTCTCAGAACGTCCAGAAAGCGCAGAAAAATATAGTCAGTGTCACTGTTGGTCACGCTTCAATGTGGAGTACCTACGAACTTCACCTGAAAAAAATGGGGCCACCGTTCTAAACAAAAGGCACGAACAGCCTGTGGAAAAAGAGGCATAGTGACCGGCAGCGGCTAGGCCAAGAAGCGTTTGAAACTCTGTCCAGCCGGTATCATTTGATGTTACCACATCTGCCATACCCATAGCCGACGTCTGTTTCAGGCTCGGCTGGGCTTATTTCTTCGCCTAATGCCCGCCATGATGCTTGCGCTCCCCCGATGTCAGTAAATTTGATTTTCCACTGATGTTATGTTCCTGGTCGACACCGGCGACCGGAGCTTCCGGCCTGATGTGACATCTGTTACATGCCGTGTTTTTTTTTTCTCTGACGCGTCTTGGCGTGTCGGGCGTATCAATAAGGTCACGTATCCTCTCTTGTCTTAACTCCTCCACCATCCTCTCTTGCCTTCCCCCACTCTTCGTCGCCATGCCCCTTACATGACCGGCCGCGTCGCCTCTCGTCTTGACTCCACCACCACCGCTCTTGGCTCAACACAAGGTGTGTTCCCTGTTTGCCATTTTCCGCTTGCTCAGGCTGACTGTGGACACGAAGCTCTCATCACAACATGTGGGACAACATTCTGCGTCACGTTGACTTGCCAACATTCAACTCCTGCCTGCAGCTGCTCCTGGCCTTGACGTTGACCAAGGTTTGCACATTATCTTCCCCAATTTTCGCTGACACATACTGTTTGTAGTGCTCTTCTTGACCACTCTTCGTCACCGGTGCAGCGGTGCCCCTTGAGGGATGTCCACAGCCTACCCCAGTCGCTCCCAAGACATGTCTTCCCGCGTCACCCACTACTACATCCTTGGCTCGAAACAAGGTGCGCCTTTCTTGTTGTTTTCCGCTCGCTCAGGCTGACTCAAGACCTGAAGCTTCCAGCATCTTACGTCACATTGACTTGCCAAAATCCCTGCAGCTCCCGGTCTTGCTGCGAACAGGTTTGCACCTGCGAACGAGCATGAGAAGATGACAAATGGCTTGTCTGACACCTGGCTTATGCACCGTCTGGCGTGGTCGTTGACGGGTATGTATTGCCTTATTCATGTCACCCTTGCGCTGACCCAACAACACAGGACTCCCATTGGGCTGTTTCACTGTTAGCTCTTCTGCGCGGCACTTCTGCGTTGCGCCAGCGTCAAGGCATCAGTGGAGCTTATCCTTTTGACACGTCTTTCTTAGCCCGACACATTGGACTCCCTCTAACCTCCCGCCAAGTCCTTCACGCGCACGGCCTTAGTCCCTGGCGTCGGCAGACCATCCTCCATTTCTTGTGTCCACATGGCACCGGCTTGGGTTTACGCCCCAGGCACAACATTAGTGAGTGTTGTCTCTGCTGAATCTCGCTGATGTACTAACTTGTTTCGCAGAACGTGATAGTCTCGCTGAAAATCGGCGTAAAATCATGGCTCAATTGGTGATTACGTAAGCGTATATCGACCCACTTTTTTGCCTTAAAAAACTTACGTTTGTACCAGGATTTTGACGGCCGAAGGCCCAGCGTCCCCTCTAGGCTTCAATGCCTCGGAGCCAGGGCTCTGCTCCCTGGCTTCCCTCTTGCGTCTGTTGCCTTCGCCAACCCTGCTCAATGCCGACCACCGCTGCATACGGCGCATCAATCAGAGCATCAACACCAAGATCGTCATGCGCACCGTGATTCTGGTAAGTTCTTGTCCTTCCTGTTCGTTCGAGAGATTACCAATGTTGATATCAGTGTCCGTATTGCACTCCTCATCGCCTTTACCAATTCCACTGACAATGATGGATCAATTGATGATTACGTAAGCATATTTCAGCCCACTTTTTGCCTCATCAAAACTCACTTTTGCGCCAGGATTTTGACGGCCGGAGGCCCAGCGTCCCTCTGGACTTCAACGCCCCAGAGCCAGGGCTCTGCTCCCTGGCGTTCCTCTTGTGTCCGTTGCCTTCACCAACCCCGCTCCGCTGTCCCCGCATCTGGCGCCGCAGGCGCCATCAACGCTGGTATCCTCATGTGATCTTTCACTATGGTGAGCTCTTGTCCCTCTCCTCTATTGTGCAATTACTGACCTTGATCTCAGTGTTCCTAACACGTCGCGCCGCTCGTTGCCGCTCGAAAATCGCTCCCATCACCGATTATTGATGCGATCAATCGATTATCCGATAATTTCGGGACGTCATTTGGACCTCAAAAAACGTGATTCAAAACACCATTTTTTCCAGGATTTTGCCGCCGGAGGCGAACGAACGGGAGGACTTTCAACGCAAACATTGGCAGCAGTGCGCTGCCGATCCCCCCACTGTGCGTTTTCACCAAGTCTTTTTTTTTCCATTGCTTAAACTATTGCAGTCCGTTGACTTCTACACCCAGCCCATTAATCACACATCCCGATTTCCCTCAACGAAGCGATCCACTCTGGTCCGAGCCGAGCCGAGCTTCTTCTCACCACCACTCGCCGTCTTCCCAAGGGGATCTGCGGCACGCGCCTGCATCCCAGTTGACCTCGCCCCGGCTTACAACGCGAGCCGGGCCATCCGCCGGCGGCACGTGCCCGAACCGGCCACCCACGACTTCCTTCTTACCACCATGCGCAATGTGCCAACCACACCAACGCCAAGTCCCTCGACCCCGCCGCCTCCACAGCCCTCTGTCTGCTGCCAGAACGGGTGTCCACGCGCCGAACTGGCCATTGACCGCCGTCTACAACGCCATTAGCAACGACAAACGCGCCCATTGACTGTGCGCCAACCAGGCCCAACCTTGACCAAACGCGTGTCTGGCGCGGCACGTGGCTGGGAAGAGCTCTACAGTACTATGACTGCCTTGTCATTTCGACCAGCGCAACGCGGCGCTATCAGTCGGCCTCGACCTCGTCAACGCGTTAAGGCGGGTCGGCCTCACCACCTTGCGCGACAGCGCTGTATCGGGAACCTTACAAAACGACCCCGGCATTTGCGCTGGCGATCACGGCCAACTCGTTCCCCAAACACCATCACCAACGACCAACAGCGTTCCCTGCTGCTTGGCCGACACTTGCCTCCAACCATGCCTGCATGTTGCCCACTCCCCTTCATCTTCACAAGCGCCATGCAACGCTATCCCCCCGACTTCGCCATCGTTAACGCGTCAGTCTTGGCTGTCGCGGGCAGCCATCAAGGGGTCTGTTTCCCGCAACATTGCAAGCAAGAGCGAGAGCAACGGACACGGGTGCGGTCCCTCGCTTAGCCTGCGACTTCCTTAACCGCGCTGTCTGCTCGGATTCAACACCAGGGAGTGAGAGCGACGGTTGTCGGCGAGCAATCCACCATGACGGCAACAAGGGTATCGACAACACCCTCTGCGCTAACCTCCGCTCTCTCGCGTTCGACAACTCCCTCCAAAATCTTACCCCACGACACAGTCTCCATCACCAACCCAGTCGTGGTTTGGCGGGACTGCAACAACAACGGCGCTGTTCAAATCGAAGGCTGCAATGCGGGAAAAGAATCGAGTCGGGCACTACGTCGAGGCGAAACCGTAACTATGGCGGGAGTAGTTGGACATCTTTGGCCTACAACTTGCCACCACTGTCCGCCAACAGCCCCGGGCGCGGGTTCCCCCACGACAAACCACTCCCCTTCAAAATCTTGCCCCTGACACTCATTCTGCGGGCGCTCCGTCTCCATATTGTGGTCTGGCAGGACTTGATGGAGTTGGCTGGAACGGTGACTGGGCCCAACCGGGGAAGTGGGGTCTGCAATGCCAAAGAACGGGTGCGTGAAACCGTGACCGCGGTGACTTTGGCGTTGCCAGACCCGACTTGGCAGGGAGAGGGATCGAGATCGGGGAGCTACACGGGGATAGACGCGTTGTTTACGCGTCTAACGCGTGAAATACGCGTATCTCTTGCGATGGATCTACGGGTCGGGTAGTGTAAACTGTACATTCGCGACCTTGAATAAATTTTTTTCACTGCTTTGCCGTAATACAAGGGTATATAAGAAAGTTGACGGGCGAGCCTTAGCGAGCTGCGAGCCTTTGCGATGGGTGAGTAAAGCGTTGAGGTGGATGCGATGGGTGAGTAAAGCGTTGAGGTGGATGCGATGGGTGAGTAAAGCGTTGAGGTGGATGCGGGAGGGTAAGGCTAATGGGTGAGTCAAGTGTTGAGGTGGACAGTGGAGGGGATGGGTATGCAAGCTCAACTCGCGCAGCTCAACGTTGCGCTCAACCCTGACGCCGTCCACGCACACCCTCCCGCCCCACCGCCAACACGCTACTTTGGCTACGGCAGCAACCTCTGGATCCACCAGATGGACACGCGCTGCCCGGGCAACACCCTCCTCGGAGTCGCCTTTCTTCGGGACTGGTATAAGCAGCCCCCACCCATTTTATTATCTAATACTAAATACTCTACAGGCGGTGGATAATCAACACCCGGGGGTACGCCACGATCGTGCCCTCCCCGGACTCCGTCGTGTACGCGCTGCTGTACACGCCACCGCCGCGGACGAGGCCGCGCCGACCGCCACGAGGGCGTCCCCGGTCGTCGACGTAAAGCAGACGCACCCCGTCACGCTCGTCGGCCCCGACGGGTCACACAGCACCACCCTCGACGCGCTCGTGTATGTCGATGTGCAGCGCGCAAGAGGGCCCGCCGAAGCCCGAGTACGTACACCGGATCAACAGCGGGATCTGCGACGGGGTGCGGGCCGGCGTGCCGGGAGGAGTATGTGCGGGAGTGTCTGCGGCCGTTTATCCCGGAGGAACAAGAGAAAGCATTGGGCAGGCCGGTGGAGGCGGGGGGTTTGGCGGCGGCGTTGGGAAGGCTGGGGTGAAGAGCCAGCAGCCAGTATTGACTTGCATGCGATCTGCTTCTTCATTTCTAGTTATACAGGCCTGTGTTCTATCCATAATGCTACAGTGTCCGTTTTTGTTGTGCCTTGTTTTTTATGTCCGGGCGAGCTGTGGGAGCTGTGCCTCGGCGTCACGGTCCGAGTCCTTCTCCTTGTCGACGTCATAGCCATAGCTGCTGAACCGCACCAGCAAGTCCTCCACATCAAGCTCCGCGGCATAGCTCCCCGCCGTGATCCTCGCATACATCTGTAACAGCACCACCGCGGCCAGCAGCGCCACGGGTATGATGGCCAGTGCGCCGTGGAGGCCATAGCCACGGGTATGCGCGGTGCAGAACTGCCCGATGAGTCGGCTGTTTGTCTGCCCCAGACACGTGTAGATTGCGGGGTAGCCGGCCCCGGGCCGGAGCGTGCTGAGGAGCGTCCCGGCGAGGGCGAGTAAGGGCAGGGGCAGCGCGAGGAAGAGCAGCCGGGAGGAGAGCCCGGCGAGCGACCGGCGGCGGGTGGCCCCGGCGATCAGACTGGGACGTAGTTAGTTTACCGGAGATAAGATAGCACTGCTACTCACCCGGGGACGGAGAGCAGGAAGACGACGGTGAACGTCGCGGCCTGGAAGAAGAGCGCGATGCGGGGCCGCCCGGGGAGCGGGTGCGCCCGGAGCCAGCCGACCTCGACCCAGCTGCCCACTGTGCCCGCGCCGGACGAGCGCAGCGTTTGGCTCCTCGGAGCGCTACACCTGTCAAAGGGCATCTCCTGGCCGCACAGAAAGAAGACGACGGTGAACGTCGCCGGACAGCAGCAGAGCAGGACGACTAGAAGGCGCGCACAGCCTCCCACGACACGTGCCGTTGACAGCGGCCTTCTGCCCACCATCTCCTTCTCGTCATGAACGACCGTCCTCAACATCTAGCTAGACAACCTGGAGCCCAACTCGTCGCTGCTGCCCTCTCTTGCCGTTGCCCGTGCTTTTACAACGGCGATAACGCAAGTGGCCAAACCCGCGACTTTCTCTCCCGCTCTCCGTCCGCTGCTGCGCCAAATATCGCTGCAGAACAAGGTCAGCCGCTGTAAAACAGCCCCAGGACGGCAAGAACACCTACTAGTACAAGAACACGATGACTCACAACTCCAACGCCGTCAACAAGAGTCAATCTCAGGCCGCGGCAGCCTGGAAATACAAATCATCTTAGTCTGGCAACACGACGATATGAAGCGTGGAGGTTGGTGATGAAGAAGGGAGACTGGTTGAGCTGCAAAGGTGAGTGCGAATCTGCTGATTTGTTTCAGAAACAACTTACCGGCCTTCAGTTCGCGATTCGTGCTTGCCTGGTTGAGCAACGAAAGTGAGCGCGACCACCAACAAAACGTTGACTTACCCACTAATTTGTTTCAGAAGTCTCAGCCTCTTTGACCGCGACAAACTTCTGCCCGCCTCAAACGTCAGCTAGCGGCGGAGATGGGGAGGAGAATGGAATCAGTGGAGAAATGACTGGATACAGGTCAGTTTGGTGTCGTTTAGTTGAAGAATATTAACTGACTGTTTTTATATTGTTTGCATTCGCATTCGCCGCCTGGTTGAGCGGCAACCGTGAGTGCGCGAACACCAGCAACGAGTTGAGACACTTACTGATTTGTTTTAGAGACCTTAAAGGAGTCTTGCCTTTGGGATCGTTCACGCTCGCCTGGTTGAGCAACAACAATGAGCACGAACAGCAACAACGAGTTGACAGACTTAGTCATTTGTTCAAAAGCCTTTCGATGGCGGCTATTGGTGATGAGCGATCTTGCGAGCTCGTTTGCGCTTATTTGTTTGCACAACCAAGTATGAGGTGAGCAACAACTCTCGCTTGCGGGCTTGAGCTGAGCTATGTTAGATCTGCAAATGAAGTCAGTAAGTGGATATGATGCTGCGAATACTGACCAACGTGCCGGTCAACTCTGGACTCGGAACAGAATGCGGGAACGCCGCAGCCGACCTGGACGTGAAGACAAGGTAAACCAGGATGAATTGGAGAATAAGATGCTTACTAGCATTCGGTGTTGCTTGCGGGCTTGGTGTGGGACGAAACGAGGCCAGCGCAGACAACGCACAAGCACGTTGTATTTATCTGACAACGCGGTAAGCAAGATTGAATCCAAGTCAACGACAACTTACTTTCAATTTTATTCGCCAGCTAGGATGATGGAGGAAATGGATTGGACGACGAGTCCGCAAATCCGCCTTGTTCATAGACATCAGTACATGTTGTATTTGGTAGAAGTGAAATGAATCGCTCACCTTCTTCAAGTTTGCGCGTGCCGTCACATAGCTCGTGACTCGCGTCGCTTCTTCTTGCCCCTCATCCCGATCATCTGCGCTCGTGCAGCCAGCCTCTTTGACCACAACAGGCTTGCGCACGCCTCAAACGTCCGCTAGTGGTGGAGATGGAGGAGAATGGGAAGCTGCGGGGAGATGGGAGAGAAATGGCGGCGGGGAATCTGGCAAGCGGTGAGTCCGGCCCAGTTGGCCCCATTTGCTGCTTCTTCCCAGCCACGCCCAGCGTTCAGCGGCGACCTGGCCCGGCTGACCGCACCCTCTCCGGCCCAAATGGCAGCGCCAACCACCACTCCCTCAAATCTTATGCCGGCGGCTTACTTTTGACTCCGGCAACTCACGGCTACTGACTACTGGCTGGGACGACATGCTGCTGCTCGACCACTTGCGAATCGCATGACTACGCCGGCCGGCCCCCTTGTCTGGGGGGTCAGCGGCAAACTCGTCGTCCCCTCGTTTTCGGACCACGACTGGGCCAGCGACAAACTGGTCTACAAGTCAATCATCAGGCGGCCGACTATTTGCCAACTCTAGTTTGGTTTCCGAATAACGGCCCGCGCGCGACACGTTGCGCTATGAGCAGTGCCGAGTCAGCCTCCAAAACTCTGGAGCTCGGCACGCTTTTCAGCTTGGGAGACGAATTCGCTGGTCGGAAGCTGCCGAGCCCATCCCGAATTACAGAGCGCTACATGATCAGGTAAGCTCATATTTGTCCCCGCTGAACAAGTCCGCTTACCTGTCCATAAGCACGCCAACTGACTGTTGGAAGTCGTTCAGTCGACAACGAGCCTGTCGCCAATCGTTCTTACCAACGAACATGTCAACGAGCTCAATGCCCTTCCCGTCCATCAACTATCTCCCGCTCTTCCCTCTTGACGACAACAAAAAGTAAGCGCAACGTGCTATTATCATGTAAGTCCTGTTTTCTCAGTCCGTGGAACTCACTGATGATGAAATCCTCTCCAGAGCTCGCGACTGGCTTGGCACTGTAACGACAATGACGAATCGTTCAACGGCGAATCCAGAGGCCAACAACTATGGTACCGCTCGTTTGGGTTCCTGACCTCGCTGAACATTTTGGGAGGTGGGCACTTGATTTTGCGGGGAAGGCGAGCCTAAAACGGTTAGTTATGCCTTCATTTCACCAGGAAACTCACCATTAAACAGTTTGGTCGTGCCGAATATGGAAGAAACTAGTGATTTGGCTGGAAGAAAGTGAGCCAAAGGTCTCATTTTTGCCAACACTAGTAAACTTACCATTAAACAGCGAGACTAAAACGGCAGCAATGTCAACGGACATAGCCACGAGCTCGCCGGAAGCGACCGTCCTGCAACGCAGACAGGCTGCGCTCGACAGGAACGACACGTCGGTGGTGGTGAAGCCGCTGACACTAAGTACCGATTCAGGCCAACGCGACGAACCAAGCAGCTTTGCTGGTGAGTTTTGTAAATCCCTCAACGCGGGCCATAACACAACTCGCCAATCTCTGCAGGACGACGATGAAATCTTGGCGCTGTAACGACAACGACGAGGAGCGAGGTCATTGGCCTCAAATCTTCTGGATAAGGTGAGATTGGGGATTGCACCAGAATGGATGATACCTACGACGCACAGTATCCGTCACGATGGACGACGACGAGGCACACAGGTTTCAAGCTGGGAGACATGGTCAGTATCCAAATCAAGTGCCCAAATGGAAACTGACCTCGATACAGAGTGTTTGCGATGACGAACACGGCGATTTCATCGTCGTCTGGAAGGGCGTTGACACTGAGAGGAGCGACGAGCAATTGGGGGGACTGCTGTAGAACGACTTGTAGATTGATAGAAGATAATAATATTGAGGCAATGACAATGCGAGGGCAAGGGCAGTAGTGGGGTTGCAAGGGGAAGGATGGAGGGAGAGGAAAAGAAGGGGTGCTGTGTTGCTCGACACAAGTCAGGTCTTATATAGGCAGGATAAGCGAGCGGCGCACTTGTAAACATGTTCGGCGTTGCGGGGAATCAACAAACAAAAAAATTCACATGAAAACTTCCATCTATCAAGTGACGTTACCGCGGGCATGCACGCCGCCCGACAGTTTGTTGAGATGCAAATACGCGATTTCGTGTATTCCCCTTCCAACAACATTGCGCTGGCGGCCGCGGTCTGGCCACCCGATCATCAGGGAATGTGTTTGGGGCTGTGGTACCTATCGTATGCGCCTGCCTCTGTCGTAATCAGAGCAAATTTGACTCCAGCAGAGGGTTATCTTGTTTCTTATTTACAACGAGAAAGAAGTGGGTTGTATGCAAGGGATAGCTGCGATGAAGGTGTGGATAACATTTATTCAAGCCGAACATTGTTTCCCACGCTCGGAATTGGGCGATCGGGGCTGAACTAGAGGGAAACCAGCAGTTGTTGGTACTGTTACCTTATCGGGATGCTATCTGGAGTGTGCTGAATCACCTCTCAGAACGTCCAGAAAGCGCAGAAAAATATAGTCAGTGTCACTGTTGGTCACGCTTCAATGTGGAGTACCTACTTAACTTCACCTGAAAAAAAATGGGGCCACCGTTCTAAACAAAAGGCACGAACAGCCTGTGGAAAAAGAGGCATAGTGACCGGCAGCGGCTAGGCCAAGAAGCGTTTGAAACTCTGTCCAGCCGGTATCATTTGATGTTACCACATCTGCCATACCCATAGCCGACGTCTGTTTCAGGCTCGGCTGGGCTTATTTCTTCGCCTAATGCTCCGCCGATGCTTGCGCTCTCCCCCGATGTCAGTAAATTTGATTTTCCACTGATGTTATGTTCCTGGTCGACACCGGCGACCGGAGCTTCCGGCCTGATGTGACATCTGTTACATGCCGTGTTTTTTTTCCTCTGACGTCTTGGCGTGTCGGCGTATCAATAAGGTCACGTATCCTCTCTTGTCTTAACTCCTCCACCATCCTCTCTTGCCTTCCCCCACTCTTCGTCGCCATGCCCCTTACATGACCGGCCGCGTCGCCTCTCGTCTTGACTCCACCACCACCGCTCTTGGCTCAACACAAGGTGTGTTCCCTGTTTGCCATTTTCCGCTTGCTCAGGCTGACTGTGGACACGAAGCTCTCATCACAACATGTGGGACAACATTCTGCGTCACGTTGACTTGCCAACATTCAACTCCTGCCTGCAGCTGCTCCTGGCCTTGACGTTGACCAAGGTTTGCACATTATCTTCCCCAATTTTCGCTGACACATACTGTTTGTAGTGCTCTTCTTGACCACTCTTCGTCACCGGTGCAGCGGTGCCCCTTGAGGGATGTCCACAGCCTACCCCAGTCGCTCCCAAGACATGTCTTCCCGCGTCACCCACTACTACATCCTTGGCTCGAAACAAGGTGCGCCTTTCTTGTTGTTTTCCGCTCGCTCAGGCTGACTCAAGACCTGAAGCTTCCAGCATCTTACGTCACATTGACTTGCCAAAATCCCTGCAGCTCCCGGTCTTGCTGCGAACAGGTTTGCACCTGCGAACGAGCATGAGAAGATGACAAATGGCTTGTCTGACACCTGGCTTATGCACCGTCTGGCGTGGTCGTTGACGGGTATGTATTGCCTTATTCATGTCACCCTTGCGCTGACCCAACAACACAGGACTCCCATTGGGCTGTTTCACTGTTAGCTCTTCTGCGCGGCACTTCTGCGTTGCGCCAGCGTCAAGGCATCAGTGGAGCTTATCCTTTTGACACGTCTTTCTTAGCCCGACACATTGGACTCCCTCTAACCTCCCGCCAAGTCCTTCACGCGCACGGCCTTAGTCCCTGGCGTCGGCAGACCATCCTCCATTTCTTGTGTCCACATGGCACCGGCTTGGGTTTACGCCCCAGGCACAACATTAGTGAGTGTTGTCTCTGCTGAATCTCGCTGATGTACTAACTTGTTTCGCAGAACGTGATAGTCTCGCTGAAAATCGGCGTAAAATCATGGCTCAATTGGTGATTACGTAAGCGTATATCGACCCACTTTTTTGCCTTAAAAAACTTACGTTTGTACCAGGATTTTGACGGCCGAAGGCCCAGCGTCCCTCTAGGCTTCAATGCCTCGGAGCCAGGGCTCTGCTCCCTGGCTTCCCTCTTGCGTCTGTTGCCTTCGCCAACCCTGCTCAATGCCGACCACCGCTGCATACGGCGCATCAATCAGAGCATCAACACCAAGATCGTCATGCGCACCGTGATTCTGGTAAGTTCTTGTCCTTCCTGTTCGTTGCGAGATTACCAATGTTGATATCAGTGTCCGTATTGCACTCCTCATCGCCTTTACCAATTCCACTGACAATGATGGATCAATTGATGATTACGTAAGCATATTTCAGCCCACTTTTTGCCTCATCAAAACTCACTTTTGCGCCAGGATTTTGACGGCCGGAGGCCCAGCGTCCCTCTGGACTTCAACGCCCCAGAGCCAGGGCTCTGCTCCCTGGCGTTCCTCTTGTGTCCGTTGCCTTCACCAACCCCGCTCCGCTGTCCCCGCATCTGGCGCCAGGCGCATCATCAACGCTGGTATCCTCATGTGATCTTTCACTATGGTGAGCTCTTGTCCCTCTCCTCTATTGTGCAATTACTGACCTTGATCTCAGTGTTCCTAACACGTCGCGCCGCTCGTTGGCCGCTCGAAAATCGCTCCCATCACCGATTATTGATGCGATCAATCGATTATCCGATAATTTCGGGACGTCATTTGGACCTCAAAAAACGTGATTCAAAACACCATTTTTTCCAGGATTTTGCCGGGAGGCGAACGAACGGGAGGACTTTCAACGCAAACATTGGCAGCAGTGCGCTGCCGATCCCCCCACTGTGCGTTTTCACCAAGTCTTTTTTTTCCCATTGCTTAAACTATTGCAGTCCGTTGACTTCTACACCCAGCCCATTAATCACACATCCCGATTTCCCTCAACGGCGATCCACTCTGGTCCGAGCCGAGCCGAGCTTCTTCTCACCACCACTCGCCGTCTTCCCAAGGGGATCTGCGGCACGCGCCTGCATCCCAGTTGACCTCGCCCGGCTTACAACGCGAGCCGGGCCATCCGCCGGCGGCACGTGCCCGAACCGGCCACCCACGACTTCCTTCTTACCACCATGCGCAATGTGCCAACCACACCAACGCCAAGTCCCTCGACCCCGCCGCCTCCACAGCCCTCTGTCTGCTGCCAGAACGGGTGTCCACGCGCCGAACTGGCCATTGACCGCCGTCTACAACGCCATTAGCAACGACAAACGCGCCCATTGACTGTGCGCCAACCAGGCCCAACCTTGACCAAACGCGTGTCTGGCGCGGCACGTGGCTGGGAAGAGCTCTACAGTACTATGACTGCCTTGTCATTTCGACCAGCGCAACGCGGGCGCTATCAGTCGGCCTCGACCTCGTCAACGTTAAAGGCGGGTCGGCCTCACCACCTTGCGACAGCGCTGTATCGGGAACCTTACAAAACGACCCGGCATTTGCGCTGGCGATCACGGCCAACTCGTTCCCCCAAACACCATCACCAACGACCAACAGCGTTCCCTGCTGCTTGGCCGACACTTGCCTCCAACCATGCCTGCATGTTGCCCACTCCCCTTCATCTTCACAAGCGCCATGCAACGCTATCCGCCCGACTTCGGCATCATTAACGCGTCCATCTTGGCTGTCGCGGGCAGCCATCAAGTGGCCTGTGTCCCGCAACATTGCGAGCGAGAGAGCGAGAGCAACGGACACGGGGTGCGGTCCCTCGTTTAGCCTGCGACTTCCTTAACCGCGCTGTCTGCTCGGATCCAACACCAGGGAGCGAGAGCAACGGTTGTCGGCGAGCAAGCTACAGTGACGGCAACAAGGGTATCGACAACACCCTCTGCGCTAACCTCCGCTCTCTCGCGTTCGACAACTCCCCTCCAAAATCTTACCCCACGACACAGTCTCCATCACCAACCCAGTCGTGGTTTGGCGGGACTGCAACAACAACGGCGCTGTTCAAATCGAAGGCTGCAATGCGGGAAAAGAATCGAGTCGGGCACTACGTCGAGCGAAAACCGTAACTATGGCGGGAGTAGTTGGACATCTTTGGCCTACAACTTGCCACCACTGTCCGCCAACAGCCCCGGCGCGGGTTCCCCCCCACGACAAACCACTCCCCTTCAAAATCTTGCCCCTGACACTCATTCTGCGGGCGCTCCGTCTCCATATTGTGGTCTGGCAGGACTTGATGGAGTTGGCTGGAACGGTGACTGGGCCCAACCGGGGAAGTGGGGTCTGCAATGCCAAAGAACGGGTGCGTGAAACCGTGACCGCGGTGACTTTGGCGTTGCCAGACCCGACTTGGCAGGGAGAGGGATCGAGATCGGGGAGCTACACGGGGATAGACGCGTTGTTTACGCGTCTAACGCGTGAAATACGCGTATCTTGCGATGGATCTACGGGTCGGGTAGTGTAAACTGTACATTCGCGTACCTTGAATAAATTTTTTTCACTGCTTTGCCGTAATACAAGGGTATATAAGAAAGTTGACGGGGCGAGCCTTAGCGAGCTGCAGCCTTTGCGATGGGTGAGTAAAGCGTTGAGGTGGATGCGATGGGTGAGTAAAGCGTTGAGGTGGATGCGATGGGTGAGTAAAGCGTTGAGGTGGATGCGGGAGGGTAAGGCTAATGGGTGAGTCAAGTGTTGAGGTGGACAGTGGAGGGGATGGGTATGCAAGCTCAACTCGCGCAGCTCAACGTTGCGCTCAACCCTGACGCCGTCCACGCACACCCTCCCCCCCACCGCCAACACGCTACTTTGGCTACGGCAGCAACCTCTGGATCCACCAGATGGACACGCGCTGCCCGGGCAACACCCTCCTCGGAGTCGCCTTTCTTCGGGACTGGTATAAGCAGCCCCCACCCATTTTATTATCTAATACTAAATACTCTACAGGCGGTGGATAATCAACACCCGGGGGTACGCCACGATCGTGCCCTCCCCGGACTCCGTCGTGTACGCGCTGCTGTACACGCTCACCGCCGCGGACGAGGCCGCGCTCGACCGCCACGAGGGCGTCCCGCGGTCGTACGTAAAGCAGACGCACCCCGTCACGCTCGTCGGCCCCGACGGGTCACACAGCACCACCCTCGACGCGCTCGTGTATGTCGATGTGCAGCGCACGCAAGAGGGCCCGCCGAAGCCCGAGTACGTACACCGGATCAACAGCGGGATCTGCGACGCGGTGGCGGGCCGGCGTGCCGGAGGAGTATGTGCGGGAGTGTCTGCGGCCGTTTATCCCGGAGGAACAAGAGAAAGCATTGGGCAGGCCGGTGGAGGCGGGGGCGTTGGCGGCGGCGTTGGGAAGGCTGGGGTGAAGAGCCAGCAGCCAGTATTGACTTGCATGCGATCTGCTTCTTCATTTCTAGTTATACAGGCCTGTGTTCTATCCATAATGCTACAGTGTCCGTTTTTGTTGTGCCTTGTTTTTTATGTCCGGGCGAGCTGTGGGAGCTGTGCCTCGGCGTCACGGTCCGAGTCCTTCTCCTTGTCGACGTCATAGCCATAGCTGCTGAACCGCACCAGCAAGTCCTCCACATCAAGCTCCGCGGCATAGCTCCCCGCCGTGATCCTCGCATACATCTGTAACAGCACCACCGCGCCAGCAGCGCCACGGGTATGATGGCCAGTGCGCCGTGGAGGCCATAGCCACGGGTATGCGCGGTGCAGAACTGCCCGATGAGTCGGCTGTTTGTCTGCCCCAGACACGTGTAGATTGCGGGGTAGCCGGCCCCGGGCCGGAGCGTGCTGAGGAGCGCCCGCGAGGGCGAGTAAGGGCAGGGGCAGCGCGAGGAAGAGCAGCCGGGAGGAGAGCCCGGCGAGCGACCGGCGGGGGTGGCCCCGGCGATCAGACTGGGACGTAGTTAGTTTACCGGAGATAAGATAGCACTGCTACTCACCCGGGGACGGAGAGCAGGAAGACGACGGTGAACGTCGCGGCCTGGAAGAAGAGCGCGATGCGGGGCCGCCCGGGAGCGGGTGCGCCCGGAGCCAGCCGACCTCGACCCAGCTGCCCACTGTGCCCGCGCCGGACGAGCGCAGCGTTTGGCTCCTCGGAGCGCTACACCTGTCAAAGGGCATCTCCTGGCCGCACAGAAAGAAGACGACGGTGAACGTCGCCGGACAGCAGCAGAGCAGGACGACTAGAAGGCGCGCACAGCCTCCCACGACACGTGCCGTTGACAGCGGCCTTCTGCCCACCATCTCCTTCTCGTCATGAACGACCGTCCTCAACATCTAGCTAGACAACCTGGAGCCCAACTCGTCGCTGCCCCCGCTCTTGCCGTTGCCCGTGCTTTTACAACGGCGATAACGCAAGTGGCCAAACCCGCGACTTTCTCTCCCGCTCTCCGTCCGCTGCGCCAAATATCGCTGCAGAACAAGGTCAGCCGCTGTAAAACAGCCCCAGGACGGCAAGAACACCTACTAGTACAAGAACACGATGACTCACAACTCCAACGCCGTCAACGAGTCAATCTCAGGCCGCGGCAGCCTGGAAATACAAATCATCTTAGTCTGGCAACACGACGATATGAAGCGTGGAGGTTGGTGATGAAGAAGGGAGACTGGTTGAGCTGCAAAGGTGAGTGCGAATCTGCTGATTTGTTTCAGAAACAACTTACCGGCCTTCAGTTCGCGATTCGTGCTTGCCTGGTTGAGCAACGAAAGTGAGCGCGACCACCAACAAAACGTTGACTTACCCACTAATTTGTTTCAGAAGTCTCAGCCTCTTTGACCGCGACAAACTTCTGCCCGCCTCAAACGTCAGCTAGCGGCGGAGATGGGGAGGAGAATGGAATCAGTGGAGAAATGACTGGATACAGGTCAGTTTGGTGTCGTTTAGTTGAAGAATATTAACTGACTGTTTTTATATTGTTTGCATTCGCATTCGCGCGCCTGGTTGAGCGGCAACCGTGAGTGCGCGAACACCAGCAACGAGTTGAGACACTTACTGATTTGTTTTAGAGACCTTAAAGGAGTCTTGCCTTTGGGATCGTTCACGCCGCCTGGTTGAGCAACAACAATGAGCACGAACAGCAACAACGAGTTGACAGACTTAGTCATTTGTTCAAAAGCCTTTCGATGGCGGCTATTGGTGATGAGCGATCTTGCGAGCTCGTTTGCGCTTATTTGTTTGCACAACCAAGTATGAGGTGAGCAACAACTCTCGCTTGCGGGCTTGAGCTGAGCTATGTTAGATCTGCAAATGAAGTCAGTAAGTGGATATGATGCTGCGAATACTGACCAACGTGCCGGTCAACTCTGGACTCGGAACAGAATGCGGGAACGCCGCAGCCGACCTGGACGTGAAGACAAGGTAAACCAGGATGAATTGGAGAATAAGATGCTTACTAGCATTCGGTGTTGCTTGCGGGCTTGGTGTGGGACGAAACGAGGCCAGCGCAGACAACGCACAAGCACGTTGTATTTATCTGACAACGCGGTAAGCAAGATTGAATCCAAGTCAACGACAACTTACTTTCAATTTTATTCGCCAGCTAGGATGATGGAGGAAATGGATTGGACGACGAGTCCGCAAATCCGCCTTGTTCATAGACATCAGTACATGTTGTATTTGGTAGAAGTGAAATGAATCGCTCACCTTCTTCAAGTTTGCGCGTGCCGTCACATAGCTCGTGACTCGCGTCGCTTCTTCTTGCCCCTCATCCCGATCATCTGCGCTCGTGCAGCCAGCCTCTTTGACCACAACAGGCTTGCGACGCGCCTCAAACGTCCGCTAGTGGTGGAGATGGAGGAGAATGGGAAGCTGCGGGGAGATGGGAGAGAAATGGCGGCGGGGAATCTGGCAAGCGGTGAGTCCGGCCCAGTTGGCCCCATTTGCTGCTTCTTCCCAGCCACGCCCAGCGTTCAGCGGCGACCTGGCCCGGCTGACCGCACCCTCTCCGGCCCAAATGGCAGCGCCAACCACCACTCCCTCAAATCTTATGCCGGCGGCTTACTTTTGACTCCGGCAACTCACGGCTACTGACTACTGGCTGGGACGACATGCTGCTGCTCGACCACTTGCGAATCGCATGACTACGCCCGGCCGGCCCCCTTGTCTGGGGGTCAGCGGCAAACTCGTCGTCCCCTTGTTGGACCACGACTGGGCCAGCGACAAACTGGTCTACAAGTCAATCATCAGGCGGCCGACTATTTGCCAACTCTAGTTTGGTTTCCGAATAACGGCCCGCGCGACACGTTGCGCTATGAGCAGTGCCGAGTCAGCCTCCAAAACTCTGGAGCTCGGCACGCTTTCAGCTTGGGAGACGACTCGCTGGTCGGAAGCTGCCGAGCCCATCCCGAATTACAGAGCGCTACATGATCAGGTAAGCTCATATTTGTCCCCGCTGAACAAGTCCGCTTACCTGTCCATAAGCACGCCAACTGACTGTTGGAAGTCGTTCAGTCGACAACGAGCCTGTCGCCAATCGTTCTTACCAACGAACATGTCAACGAGCTCAATGCCCTTCCCGTCCATCAACTATCTCCCGCTCTTCCCTCTTGACGACAACAAAAAGTAAGCGCAACGTGCTATTATCATGTAAGTCCTGTTTTCTCAGTCCGTGGAACTCACTGATGATGAAATCCTCTCCAGAGCTCGCGACTGGCTTGGCACTGTAACGACAATGACGAATCGTTCAACGGCGAATCCAGAGGCCAACAACTATGGTACCGCTCGTTTGGGTTCCTGACCTCGAACATTTTGGGAGGTGGGCACTTGATTTTGCGGGGAAGGCGAGCCTAAAACGGTTAGTTATGCCTTCATTTCACCAGGAAACTCACCATTAAACAGTTTGGTCGTGCCGAATATGGAAGAAACTAGTGATTTGGCTGGAAGAAAGTGAGCCAAAGGTCTCATTTTTGCCAACACTAGTAAACTTACCATTAAACAGCGAGACTAAAACGGCAGCAATGTCAACGGACATAGCCACGAGCTCGCCGAAGCGACCGTCCTGCAACGCAGACAGGCTGCGCTCGACAGGAACGACACGTCGGTGGTGAAGCCGCTGACACTAAGTACTTCGATTCAGGCCAACCGACGAACCAACAAGCAGCTTTGCTGGTGAGTTTTGTAAATCCCTCAACGGGCCATACATAACACAACTCGCCAATCTCTGCAGGACGACGATGAAATCTTGGCGCTGTAACGACAACGACGAGGAGCGAGGTCATTGGCCTCAAATCTTCTGGATAAGGTGAGATTGGGGATTGCACCAGAATGGATGATACCTACGACGCACAGTATCCGTCCACGATGGACGACGACGAGCACACAGGTTTCAAGCTGGGAGACATGGTCAGTATCCAAATCAAGTGCCCAAATGGAAACTGACCTCGATACAGAGTGTTTGCGATGACGAACACGGCGATTTCATCGTCGTCTGGAAGGGCGTTGACACTGAGAGGAGCGACGAGCAATTGGGGGGACTGCTGTAGAACGACTTGTAGATTGATAGAAGATAATAATATTGAGGCAATGACAATGCGAGGGCAAGGGCAGTAGTGGGGTTGCAAGGGGAAGGATGGAGGGAGAGGAAAAGAAGGGGTGCTGTGTTGCTCGACACAAGTCAGGTCTTATATAGGCAGGATAAGCGAGCGGCGCACTTGTAAAACATGTTCGCGTTGCGGAATCAACAAACAAAAAAATTCACATGAAAACTTCCATCTATCAAGTGACGTTACCGCGGGCATGCACGCCGCCCGACAGTTTGTTGAGATGCAAATACGCGATTTCGTGTATTCCCCGTTCCAACAACATTGCGCTGGCGGCCGGGTCTGGCCACCCGATCATCGCGGGAATGTGTTTGGGGCTGTGGTACCTATCGTATGCGCCTGCCTCTGTCGTAATCAGAGCAAATTTGACTCCAGCAGAGGGTTATCTTGTTTCTTATTTACAACGAGAAAGAAGTGGGTTGTATGCAAGGGATAGCTGCGATGAAGGTGTGGATAACATTTATTCAAGCCGAACATTGTTTCCCACGCTCGGAATTGGGCGATCGGGGCTGAACTAGAGGGAAACCAGCAGTTGTTGGTACTGTTACCTTATCGGGATGCTATCTGGAGTGTGCTGAATCACCTCTCAGAACGTCCAGAAAGCGCAGAAAAATATAGTCAGTGTCACTGTTGGTCACGCTTCAATGTGGAGTACCTACGAACTTCACCTGAAAAAAATGGGGCCACCGTTCTAAACAAAAGGCACGAACAGCCTGTGGAAAAAGAGGCATAGTGACCGGCAGCGGCTAGGCCAAGAAGCGTTTGAAACTCTGTCCAGCCGGTATCATTTGATGTTACCACATCTGCCATACCCATAGCCGACGTCTGTTTCAGGCTCGGCTGGGCTTATTTCTTCGCCTAATGCTCCGCCGATGCTTGCGCTCTCCCCGATGTCAGTAAATTTGATTTTCCACTGATGTTATGTTCCTGGTCGACACCGGCGACCGGAGCTTCCGGCCTGATGTGACATCTGTTACATGCCGTGTTTTTTTTCCTCTGACGCGTCTTGGCGTGTCGGCGTATCAATAAGGTCACGTATCCTCTCTTGTCTTAACTCCTCCACCATCCTCTCTTGCCTTCCCCCACTCTTCGTCGCCATGCCCCTTACATGACCGGCCGCGTCGCCTCTCGTCTTGACTCCACCACCACCGCTCTTGGCTCAACACAAGGTGTGTTCCCTGTTTGCCATTTTCCGCTTGCTCAGGCTGACTGTGGACACGAAGCTCTCATCACAACATGTGGGACAACATTCTGCGTCACGTTGACTTGCCAACATTCAACTCCTGCCTGCAGCTGCTCCTGGCCTTGACGTTGACCAAGGTTTGCACATTATCTTCCCCAATTTTCGCTGACACATACTGTTTGTAGTGCTCTTCTTGACCACTCTTCGTCACCGGTGCAGCGGTGCCCCTTGAGGGATGTCCACAGCCTACCCCAGTCGCTCCCAAGACATGTCTTCCCGCGTCACCCACTACTACATCCTTGGCTCGAAACAAGGTGCGCCTTTCTTGTTGTTTTCCGCTCGCTCAGGCTGACTCAAGACCTGAAGCTTCCAGCATCTTACGTCACATTGACTTGCCAAAATCCCTGCAGCTCCCGGTCTTGCTGCGAACAGGTTTGCACCTGCGAACGAGCATGAGAAGATGACAAATGGCTTGTCTGACACCTGGCTTATGCACCGTCTGGCGTGGTCGTTGACGGGTATGTATTGCCTTATTCATGTCACCCTTGCGCTGACCCAACAACACAGGACTCCCATTGGGCTGTTTCACTGTTAGCTCTTCTGCGCGGCACTTCTGCGTTGCGCCAGCGTCAAGGCATCAGTGGAGCTTATCCTTTTGACACGTCTTTCTTAGCCCGACACATTGGACTCCCTCTAACCTCCCGCCAAGTCCTTCACGCGCACGGCCTTAGTCCCTGGCGTCGGCAGACCATCCTCCATTTCTTGTGTCCACATGGCACCGGCTTGGGTTTACGCCCCAGGCACAACATTAGTGAGTGTTGTCTCTGCTGAATCTCGCTGATGTACTAACTTGTTTCGCAGAACGTGATAGTCTCGCTGAAAATCGGCGTAAAATCATGGCTCAATTGGTGATTACGTAAGCGTATATCGACCCACTTTTTTGCCTTAAAAAACTTACGTTTGTACCAGGATTTTGACGGCCGAAGGCCCAGCGTCCCTCTAGGCTTCAATGCCTCGGAGCCAGGGCTCTGCTCCCTGGCTTCCCTCTTGCGTCTGTTGCCTTCGCCAACCCTGCTCAATGCCGACCACCGCTGCATACGGCGCATCAATCAGAGCATCAACACCAAGATCGTCATGCGCACCGTGATTCTGGTAAGTTCTTGTCCTTCCTGTTCGTTGCGAGATTACCAATGTTGATATCAGTGTCCGTATTGCACTCCTCATCGCCTTTACCAATTCCACTGACAATGATGGATCAATTGATGATTACGTAAGCATATTTCAGCCCACTTTTTGCCTCATCAAAACTCACTTTTGCGCCAGGATTTTGACGGCCGGAGGCCCAGCGTCCCCTCTGGACTTCAACGCCCCAGAGCCAGGGCTCTGCTCCCTGGCGTTCCTCTTGTGTCCGTTGCCTTCACCAACCCCGCTCCGCTGTCCCCGCATCTGGCGCCAGGCGCATCAACGCTGGTATCCTCATGTGATCTTTCACTATGGTGAGCTCTTGTCCCTCTCCTCTATTGTGCAATTACTGACCTTGATCTCAGTGTTCCTAACACGTCGCGCCGCTCGTTGCCGCTCGAAAATCGCTCCCATCACCGATTATTGATGCGATCAATCGATTATCCGATAATTTCGGGACGTCATTTGGACCTCAAAAAACGTGATTCAAAACACCATTTTTTCCAGGATTTTGCCGCCGGAGGCGAACGAACGGGAGGACTTTCAACGCAAAACATTGGCAGCAGTGCGCTGCCGATCCCCCCACTGTGCGTTTTCACCAAGTCTTTTTTTTCCATTGCTTAAACTATTGCAGTCCGTTGACTTCTACACCCAGCCCATTAATCACACATCCCGATTTCCCTCAACGAGCGATCCACTCTGGTCCGAGCCGAGCCGAGCTTCTTCTCACCACCACTCGCCGTCTTCCCAAGGGGATCTGCGGCACGCGCCTGCATCCCAGTTGACCTCGCCCCGGCTTACAACGCGAGCCGGGCCATCCGCCGGGCGGCACGTGCCCGAACCGGCCACCCACGACTTCCTTCTTACCACCATGCGCAATGTGCCAACCACACCAACGCCAAGTCCCTCGACCCCGCCGCCTCCACAGCCCTCTGTCTGCTGCCAGAACGGGTGTCCACGCGCCGAACTGGCCATTGACCGCCGTCTACAACGCCATTAGCAACGACAAACGCGGCCATTGACTGTGCGCCAACCAGGCCCAACCTTGACCAAACGCGTGTCTGGCGCGGCACGTGGCTGGGAAGAGCTCTACAGTACTATGACTGCCTTGTCATTTCGACCAGCGCAACGCGGCGCTATCAGTCGGCCTCGACCTCGTCAACGCGTTAAGGCGGGTCGGCCTCACCACCTTGCGCGACAGCGCTGTATCGGGAACCTTACAAAACGACCCGGCATTTGCGCTGGCGATCACGGCCAACTCGTTCCCCCAAACACCATCACCAACGACCAACAGCGTTCCCTGCTGCTTGGCCGACACTTGCCTCCAACCATGCCTGCATGTTGCCCACTCCCCTTCATCTTCACAAGCGCCATGCAACGCTATCCGCCCGACTTCGGCATCATTAACGCGTCCATCTTGGCTGTCGCGGGCAGCCATCAAGTGGCCTGTGTCCCGCAACATTGCGAGCGAGAGCGAGAGCAACGGACACGGGGTGCGGTCCCTCGTTTAGCCTGCGACTTCCTTAACCGCGCTGTCTGCTCGGATCCAACACCAGGGAGCGAGAGCAACGGTTGTCGGCGAGCAAGCTACAGTGACGGCAACAAGGGTATCGACAACACCCTCTGCGCTAACCTCCGCTCTCTCGCGTTCGACAACTCCCCTCCAAAATCTTACCCCACGACACAGTCTCCATCACCAACCCAGTCGTGGTTTGGCGGGACTGCAACAACAACGGCGCTGTTCAAATCGAAGGCTGCAATGCGGGAAAAGAATCGAGTCGGGCACTACGTCCGAGCGAAACCGTAACTATGGCGGGAGTAGTTGGACATCTTTGGCCTACAACTTGCCACCACTGTCCGCCAACAGCCCCGGCGCGGGTTCCCCCCCACGACAAACCACTCCCCTTCAAAATCTTGCCCCGCGACACTCATTCTGCGGGCGCTCCGTCTCCATATTGTGGTCTGGCAGGACTTGATGGAGTTGGCTGGAACGGTGACTGGGCCCAACCGGGGAAGTGGGGTCTGCAATGCCAAAGAACGGGTGCGTGAAACCGTGACCGCGGTGACTTTGGCGTTGCCAGACCCGACTTGGCAGGGAGAGGGATCGAGATCGGGGAGCTACACGGGGATAGACGCGTTGTTTACGCGTCTAACGCGTGAAATACGCGTATCTTGCGATGGATCTACGGGTCGGGTAGTGTAAACTGTACATTCGCGTACCTTGAATAAATTTTTTTTCACTGCTTTGCCGTAATACAAGGGTATATAAGAAAGTTGACGGGGCGAGCCTTAGCGAGCTGCGAGCCTTTGCGATGGGTGAGTAAAGCGTTGAGGTGGATGCGATGGGTGAGTAAAGCGTTGAGGTGGATGCGATGGGTGAGTAAAGCGTTGAGGTGGATGCGGGAGGGTAAGGCTAATGGGTGAGTCAAGTGTTGAGGTGGACAGTGGAGGGGATGGGTATGCAAGCTCAACTCGCGCAGCTCAACGTTGCGCTCAACCCTGACGCCGTCCACGCACACCCTCCCGCCCCACCGCCAACACGCTACTTTGGCTACGGCAGCAACCTCTGGATCCACCAGATGGACACGCGCTGCCCGGGCAACACCCTCCTCGGAGTCGCCTTTCTTCGGGACTGGTATAAGCAGCCCCCACCCATTTTATTATCTAATACTAAATACTCTACAGGCGGTGGATAATCAACACCCGGGGTACGCCACGATCGTGCCCTCCCCGGACTCCGTCGTGTACGCGCTGCTGTACACGCCACCGCCGCCGAGACGAGGCCGCGCTCGACCGCCACGAGGGCGTCCCGCGGTCGTACGTAAAGCAGACGCACCCCGTCACGCTCGTCGGCCCCGACGGGTCACACAGCACCACCCTCGACGCGCTCGTGTATGTCGATGTGCAGCGCACGCAAGAGGGCCCGCCGAAGCCCGAGTACGTACACCGGATCAACAGCGGGATCTGCGACGCGGTGCGGGCCGGCGTGCCGGAGGAGTATGTGCGGGGAGTGTCTGCGGCCGTTTATCCCGGAGGAACAAGAGAAAGCATTGGGCAGGCCGGTGGAGGCGGGGCGTTGGCGGCGGCGTTGGGAAGGCTGGGGTGAAGAGCCAGCAGCCAGTATTGACTTGCATGCGATCTGCTTCTTCATTTCTAGTTATACAGGCCTGTGTTCTATCCATAATGCTACAGTGTCCGTTTTTGTTGTGCCTTGTTTTTTATGTCCAGGCGAGCTGTGGGAGCTGTGCCTCGGCGTCACGGTCCGAGTCCTTCTCCTTGTCGACGTCATAGCCATAGCTGCTGAACCGCACCAGCAAGTCCTCCACATCAAGCTCCGCGGCATAGCTCCCCGCCGTGATCCTCGCATACATCTGTAACAGCACCACCGCGGCCAGCAGCGCCACGGGTATGATGGCCAGTGCGCCGTGGAGGCCATAGCCACGGGTATGCGCGGTGCAGAACTGCCCGATGAGTCGGCTGTTTGTCTGCCCCAGACACGTGTAGATTGCGGGGTAGCCGGCCCCGGGCCGGAGCGTGCTGAGGAGCGTCCCGGCGAGGGCGAGTAAGGGCAGGGGCAGCGAGGAAGAGCAGCCGGGAGGAGAGCCCGGCGAGCGACCGGCGGCGGGTGGCCCCGGCGATCAGACTGGGACGTAGTTAGTTTACCGGAGATAAGATAGCACTGCTACTCACCCGGGGACGGAGAGCAGGAAGACGACGGTGAACGTCGCGGCCTGGAAGAAGAGCGCGATGCCGGGGCCGCCCGGGGAGCGGGTGCGCCCGGAGCCAGCCGACCTCGACCCAGCTGCCCACTGTGCCCGCGCCGGACGAGCGCAGCGTTTGGCTCCTCGGAGCGCTACACCTGTCAAAGGGCATCTCCTGGCCGCACAGAAAGAAGACGACGGTGAACGTCGCCGGACAGCAGCAGAGCAGGACGACTAGAAGGCGCGCACAGCCTCCCACGACACGTGCCGTTGACAGCGGCCTTCTGCCCACCATCTCCTTCTCGTCATGAACGACCGTCCTCAACATCTAGCTAGACAACCTGGAGCCCAACTCGTCGCGCTGCCCCGCCTCTTGCCGTTGCCCGTGCTTTTACAACGGCGATAACGCAAGTGGCCAAACCCGCGACTTTCTCTCCCGCTCTCCGTCCGCGCTGCGCCAAATATCGCTGCAGAACAAGGTCAGCCGCTGTAAAACAGCCCCAGGACGGCAAGAACACCTACTAGTACAAGAACACGATGACTCACAACTCCAACGCCGTCAACGAGTCAATCTCAGGCCGCGGCAGCCTGGAAATACAAATCATCTTAGTCTGGCAACACGACGATATGAAGCGTGGAGGTTGGTGATGAAGAAGGGAGACTGGTTGAGCTGCAAAGGTGAGTGCGAATCTGCTGATTTGTTTCAGAAACAACTTACCGGCCTTCAGTTCGCGATTCGTGCTTGCCTGGTTGAGCAACGAAAGTGAGCGACCACCAACAAAACGTTGACTTACCCACTAATTTGTTTCAGAAGTCTCAGCCTCTTTGACCGCGACAAACTTCTGCCCGCCTCAAACGTCAGCTAGCGGCGGAGATGGGGAGGAGAATGGAATCAGTGGAGAAATGACTGGATACAGGTCAGTTTGGTGTCGTTTAGTTGAAGAATATTAACTGACTGTTTTTATATTGTTTGCATTCGCGATTCGCGCCTGGTTGAGCGGCAACCGTGAGTGCGCGAACACCAGCAACGAGTTGAGACACTTACTGATTTGTTTTAGAGACCTTAAAGGAGTCTTGCCTTTGGGATCGTTCACGCTCGCCTGGTTGAGCAACAACAATGAGCACGAACAGCAACAACGAGTTGACAGACTTAGTCATTTGTTCAAAAGCCTTTCGATGGCGGCTATTGGTGATGAGCGATCTTGCGAGAGCTCGTTTGCGCTTATTTGTTTGCACAACCAAGTATGAGGTGAGCAACAACTCTCGCTTGCGGGCTTGAGCTGAGCTATGTTAGATCTGCAAATGAAGTCAGTAAGTGGATATGATGCTGCGAATACTGACCAACGTGCCGGTCAACTCTGGACTCGGAACAGAATGCGGGAACGCCGCAGCCGACCTGGACGTGAAGACAAGGTAAACCAGGATGAATTGGAGAATAAGATGCTTACTAGCATTCGGGTGTTGCTTGCGGGCTTGGTGTGGGACGAAACGAGGCCAGCGCAGACAACGCACAAGCACGTTGTATTTATCTGACAACGCGGTAAGCAAGATTGAATCCAAGTCAACGACAACTTACTTTCAATTTTATTCGCCAGCTAGGATGATGGAGGAAATGGATTGGACGACGAGTCCGCAAATCCGCCTTGTTCATAGACATCAGTACATGTTGTATTTGGTAGAAGTGAAATGAATCGCTCACCTTCTTCAAGTTTGCGTGCCGTCACATAGCTCGTGACTCGCGTCGCTTCTTCTTGCCCCTCATCCCGATCATCTGCGCTCGTGCAGCCAGCCTCTTTGACCACAACAGGCTTGCGACGCCTCAAACGTCCGCTAGTGGTGGAGATGGAGGAGAATGGGAAGCTGCGGGGAGATGGGAGAGAAATGGCGGCGGGGAATCTGGCAAGCGGTGAGTCCGGCCCAGTTGGCCCCATTTGCTGCTTCTTCCCAGCCACGCCCAGCGTTCAGCGGCGACCTGGCCCGGCTGACCGCACCCTCTCCGGCCCAAATGGCAGCGCCAACCACCACTCCCTCAAATCTTATGCCGGCGGCTTACTTTTGACTCCGGCAACTCACGGCTACTGACTACTGGCTGGGACGACATGCTGCTGCTCGACCACTTGCGAATCGCATGACTACGCCCGGCCGGCCCCCTTGTCTGGGGGTCAGCGGCAAACTCGTCGTCCCCTCGTTTGGACCACGACTGGGCCAGCGACAAACTGGTCTACAAGTCAATCATCAGGCGGCCGACTATTTGCCAACTCTAGTTTGGTTTCCGAATAACGGCCCGCGCGACACGTTGCGCTATGAGCAGTGCCGAGTCAGCCTCCAAAACTCTGGAGCTCGGCACGCTTTTCAGCTTGGGAGACGAATTCGCTGGTCGGAAGCTGCCGAGCCCATCCCGAATTACAGAGCGCTACATGATCAGGTAAGCTCATATTTGTCCCCGCTGAACAAGTCCGCTTACCTGTCCATAAGCACGCCAACTGACTGTTGGAAGTCGTTCAGTCGACAACGAGCCTGTCGCCAATCGTTCTTACCAACGAACATGTCAACGAGCTCAATGCCCTTCCCGTCCATCAACTATCTCCCGCTCTTCCCTCTTGACGACAACAAAAAGTAAGCGCAACGTGCTATTATCATGTAAGTCCTGTTTTCTCAGTCCGTGGAACTCACTGATGATGAAATCCTCTCCAGAGCTCGCGACTGGCTTGGCACTGTAACGACAATGACGAATCGTTCAACGGCGAATCCAGAGGCCAACAACTATGGTACCGCTCGTTTGGGTTCCTGACCTCGCGAACATTTTGGGAGGTGGGCACTTGATTTTGCGGGGAAGGCGAGCCTAAAACGGTTAGTTATGCCTTCATTTCACCAGGAAACTCACCATTAAACAGTTTGGTCGTGCCGAATATGGAAGAAACTAGTGATTTGGCTGGAAGAAAGTGAGCCAAAGGTCTCATTTTTGCCAACACTAGTAAACTTACCATTAAACAGCGAGACTAAAACGGCAGCAATGTCAACGGACATAGCCACGAGCTCGCCCGAAGCGACCGTCCTGCAACGCAGACAGGCTGCGCTCGACAGGAACGACACGTCGGTGGTGAAGCCGCTGACACTAAGTACCGATTCAGGCCAACGCGACGAACCAAGCAGCTTTGCTGGTGAGTTTTGTAAATCCCTCAACGCGGGCCATAACACAACTCGCCAATCTCTGCAGGACGACGATGAAATCTTGGCGCTGTAACGACAACGACGAGGAGCGAGGTCATTGGCCTCAAATCTTCTGGATAAGGTGAGATTGGGGATTGCACCAGAATGGATGATACCTACGACGCACAGTATCCGTCACGATGGACGACGACGACGAGCACACAGGTTTCAAGCTGGGAGACATGGTCAGTATCCAAATCAAGTGCCCAAATGGAAACTGACCTCGATACAGAGTGTTTGCGATGACGAACACGGCGATTTCATCGTCGTCTGGAAGGGCGTTGACACTGAGAGGAGCGACGAGCAATTGGGGGGACTGCTGTAGAACGACTTGTAGATTGATAGAAGATAATAATATTGAGGCAATGACAATGCGAGGGCAAGGGCAGTAGTGGGGTTGCAAGGGGAAGGATGGAGGGAGAGGAAAAGAAGGGGTGCTGTGTTGCTCGACACAAGTCAGGTCTTATATAGGCAGGATAAGCGAGCGGCGCACTTGTAAACATGTTCGGCGTTGTGGAATCAACAAACAAAAAAATTCACATGAAAACTTCCATCTATCAAGTGACGTTACCGCGGGCATGCACGCCGCCCGACAGTTTGTTGAGATGCAAATACGCGATTTCGTGTATTCCCGTTCCAACAACATTGCGCTGGCGGCCCGGTCTCTGGCCACCCGATCATCGCGGGAATGTGTTTGGGGCTGTGGTACCTATCGTATGCGCCTGCCTCTGTCGTAATCAGAGCAAATTTGACTCCAGCAGAGGGTTATCTTGTTTCTTATTTACAACGAGAAAGAAGTGGGTTGTATGCAAGGGATAGCTGCGATGAAGGTGTGGATAACATTTATTCAAGCCGAACATTGTTTCCCACGCTCGGAATTGGGCGATCGGGGCTGAACTAGAGGGAAACCAGCAGTTGTTGGTACTGTTACCTTATCGGGATGCTATCTGGAGTGTGCTGAATCACCTCTCAGAACGTCCAGAAAGCGCAGAAAAATATAGTCAGTGTCACTGTTGGTCACGCTTCAATGTGGAGTACCTACGAACTTCACCTGAAAAAAATGGGGCCACCGTTCTAAACAAAAGGCACGAACAGCCTGTGGAAAAAGAGGCATAGTGACCGGCAGCGGCTAGGCCAAGAAGCGTTTGAAACTCTGTCCAGCCGGTATCATTTGATGTTACCACATCTGCCATACCCATAGCCGACGTCTGTTTCAGGCTCGGCTGGGCTTATTTCTTCGCCTAATGCTCCCGCCGATGCTTGCGCTCTCCCCCGATGTCAGTAAATTTGATTTTCCACTGATGTTATGTTCCTGGTCGACACCGGCGACCGGAGCTTCCGGCCTGATGTGACATCTGTTACATGCCGTGTTTTTTTTTCTCTGACGCCGCGTCTTGGCGTGTCGGCGTATCAATAAGGTCACGTATCCTCTCTTGTCTTAACTCCTCCACCATCCTCTCTTGCCTTCCCCCACTCTTCGTCGCCATGCCCCTTACATGACCGGCCGCGTCGCCTCTCGTCTTGACTCCACCACCACCGCTCTTGGCTCAACACAAGGTGTGTTCCCTGTTTGCCATTTTCCGCTTGCTCAGGCTGACTGTGGACACGAAGCTCTCATCACAACATGTGGGACAACATTCTGCGTCACGTTGACTTGCCAACATTCAACTCCTGCCTGCAGCTGCTCCTGGCCTTGACGTTGACCAAGGTTTGCACATTATCTTCCCCAATTTTCGCTGACACATACTGTTTGTAGTGCTCTTCTTGACCACTCTTCGTCACCGGTGCAGCGGTGCCCCTTGAGGGATGTCCACAGCCTACCCCAGTCGCTCCCAAGACATGTCTTCCCGCGTCACCCACTACTACATCCTTGGCTCGAAACAAGGTGCGCCTTTCTTGTTGTTTTCCGCTCGCTCAGGCTGACTCAAGACCTGAAGCTTCCAGCATCTTACGTCACATTGACTTGCCAAAATCCCTGCAGCTCCCGGTCTTGCTGCGAACAGGTTTGCACCTGCGAACGAGCATGAGAAGATGACAAATGGCTTGTCTGACACCTGGCTTATGCACCGTCTGGCGTGGTCGTTGACGGGTATGTATTGCCTTATTCATGTCACCCTTGCGCTGACCCAACAACACAGGACTCCCATTGGGCTGTTTCACTGTTAGCTCTTCTGCGCGGCACTTCTGCGTTGCGCCAGCGTCAAGGCATCAGTGGAGCTTATCCTTTTGACACGTCTTTCTTAGCCCGACACATTGGACTCCCTCTAACCTCCCGCCAAGTCCTTCACGCCACGGCCTTAGTCCCTGGCGTCGGCAGACCATCCTCCATTTCTTGTGTCCACATGGCACCGGCTTGGGTTTACGCCCCAGGCACAACATTAGTGAGTGTTGTCTCTGCTGAATCTCGCTGATGTACTAACTTGTTTCGCAGAACGTGATAGTCTCGCTGAAAATCGGCGTAAAATCATGGCTCAATTGGTGATTACGTAAGCGTATATCGACCCACTTTTTTGCCTTAAAAAACTTACGTTTGTACCAGGATTTTGACGGCCGAAGGCCCAGCGTCCCTCTAGGCTTCAATGCCTCGGAGCCAGGGCTCTGCTCCCTGGCTTCCCTCTTCGTCTGTTGCCTTCGCCAACCCTGCTCAATGCCGACCACCGCTGCATACGGCGCATCAATCAGAGCATCAACACCAAGATCGTCATGCGCACCGTGATTCTGGTAAGTTCTTGTCCTTCCTGTTCGTTGCGAGATTACCAATGTTGATATCAGTGTCCGTATTGCACTCCTCATCGCCTTTACCAATTCCACTGACAATGATGGATCAATTGATGATTACGTAAGCATATTTCAGCCCACTTTTTGCCTCATCAAAACTCACTTTTGCGCCAGGATTTTGACGGCCGGAGGCCCAGCGTCCCTCTGGACTTCAACGCCCCAGAGCCAGGGCTCTGCTCCCTGGCGTTCCTCTTGTGTCCGTTGCCTTCACCAACCCCGCTCCCGCTGTCCCCGCATCTGGCGCCGCAGGCGCATCAACGCTGGTATCCTCATGTGATCTTTCACTATGGTGAGCTCTTGTCCCTCTCCTCTATTGTGCAATTACTGACCTTGATCTCAGTGTTCCTAACACGTCGCGCCGCTCGTTGCCGCTCGAAAATCGCTCCCATCACCGATTATTGATGCGATCAATCGATTATCCGATAATTTCGGGACGTCATTTGGACCTCAAAAACGTGATTCAAAACACCATTTTTTCCAGGATTTTGCCGCGGGAGGCGAACGAACGGGAGGACTTTCAACGCAAACATTGGCAGCAGTGCGCTGCCGATCCCCCCACTGTGCGTTTTCACCAAGTCTTTTTTTTTCCATTGCTTAAACTATTGCAGTCCGTTGACTTCTACACCCAGCCCATTAATCACACATCCCGATTTCCCTCAACGAAGCGATCCACTCTGGTCCGAGCCGAGCCGAGCTTCTTCTCACCACCACTCGCCGTCTTCCCAAGGGGATCTGCGGCACGCGCCTGCATCCCAGTTGACCTCGCCCCGGCTTACAACGCGAGCCGGGCCATCCGCCGGCCGGCGGCACGTGCCCGAACCGGCCACCCACGACTTCCTTCTTACCACCATGCGCAATGTGCCAACCACACCAACGCCAAGTCCCTCGACCCCCGCCGCCTCCACAGCCCTCTGTCTGCTGCCAGAACGGGTGTCCACGCGCCGAACTGGCCATTGACCGCCGTCTACAACGCCATTAGCAACGACAAACGCGCCCATTGACTGTGCGCCAACCAGGCCCAACCTTGACCAAACGCGTGTCTGGCGCGGCACGTGGCTGGGAAGAGCTCTACAGTACTATGACTGCCTTGTCATTTCGACCAGCGCAACGCGGCGCTATCAGTCGGCCTCGACCTCGTCAACGCGTTAAGGCGGGTCGGCCTCACCACCTTGCGCGACAGCGCTGTATCGGGAACCTTACAAAACGACCCCGGCATTTGCGCTGGCGATCACGGCCAACTCGTTCCCCCAAACACCATCACCAACGACCAACAGCGTTCCCTGCTGCTTGGCCGACACTTGCCTCCAACCATGCCTGCATGTTGCCCACTCCCCTTCATCTTCACAAGCGCCATGCAACGCTATCCGCCCGACTTCGGCATCATTAACGCGTCCATCTTGGCTGTCGCGGGCAGCCATCAAGTGGCCTGTGTCCCGCAACATTGCGAGCGAGAGCGAGAGCAACGGACACGGGGTGCGGTCCCTCGTTTAGCCTGCGACTTCCTTAACCGCGCTGTCTGCTCGGATCCAACACCAGGGAGCGAGAGCAACGGTTGTCGGCGAGCAAGCTACAGTGACGGCAACAAGGGTATCGACAACACCCTCTGCGCTAACCTCCGCTCTCTCGCGTTCGACAACTCCCCTCCAAAATCTTACCCCACGACACAGTCTCCATCACCAACCCAGTCGTGGTTTGGCGGGACTGCAACAACAACGGCGCTGTTCAAATCGAAGGCTGCAATGCGGGAAAAGAATCGAGTCGGGCACTACGTCGAGCGAAACCGTAACTATGGCGGGAGTAGTTGGACATCTTTGGCCTACAACTTGCCACCACTGTCCGCCAACAGCCCCTGGCGGGTTCCCCCCACGACAAACCACTCCCCTTCAAAATCTTGCCCCGACACTCATTCTGCGGGGCGCTCCGTCTCCATATTGTGGTCTGGCAGGACTTGATGGAGTTGGCTGGAACGGTGACTGGGCCCAACCGGGGAAGTGGGGTCTGCAATGCCAAAGAACGGGTGCGTGAAACCGTGACCGCGGTGACTTTGGCGTTGCCAGACCCGACTTGGCAGGGAGAGGGATCGAGATCGGGGAGCTACACGGGGATAGACGCGTTGTTTACGCGTCTAACGCGTGAAATACGCGTATCTTGCGATGGATCTACGGGTCGGGTAGTGTAAACTGTACATTCGTACCTTGAATAAATTTTTTTCACTGCTTTGCCGTAATACAAGGGTATATAAGAAAGTTGACGGGGCGAGCCTTAGCGAGCTGCGAGCCTTTGCGATGGGTGAGTAAAGCGTTGAGGTGGATGCGATGGGTGAGTAAAGCGTTGAGGTGGATGCGATGGGTGAGTAAAGCGTTGAGGTGGATGCGGGGAGGGTAAGGCTAATGGGTGAGTCAAGTGTTGAGGTGGACAGTGGAGGGATGGGTATGCAAGCTCAACTCGCGCAGCTCAACGTTGCGCTCAACCCTGACGCCGTCCACGCACACCCCCTCCCGCCCCCCGCCAACACGCTACTTTGGCTACGGCAGCAACCTCTGGATCCACCAGATGGACACGCGCTGCCCGGGCAACACCCTCCTCGGAGTCGCCTTTCTTCGGGACTGGTATAAGCAGCCCCCACCCATTTTATTATCTAATACTAAATACTCTACAGGCGGTGGATAATCAACACCCGGGGGTACGCCACGATCGTGCCCTCCCCGGACTCCGTCGTGTACGCGCTGCTGTACACGCCACCCCGCCGGACGAGGCCGCGCTCGACCGCCACGAGGGCGTCCCGCGGTCGTCACGTAAAAAGCAGACGCACCCCGTCACGCTCGTCGGCCCCGACGGGTCACACAGCACCACCCTCGACGCGCTCGTGTATGTCGATGTGCAGCGCACGCAAGAGGGCCCGCCCGAAGCCCGAGTACGTACACCGGATCAACAGCGGGATCTGCGGCGGGTGCGGGCCGGGCGTGCCGGAGGAGTATGTGCGGGAGTGTCTGCGGCCGTTTATCCCGGAGGAACAAGAGAAAGCATTGGGCAGGCCGGTGGAGGCGGGGGCGTTGGCGGCGGCGTTGGGAAGGCTGGGGTGAAGAGCCAGCAGCCAGTATTGACTTGCATGCGATCTGCTTCTTCATTTCTAGTTATACAGGCCTGTGTTCTATCCATAATGCTACAGTGTCCGTTTTTGTTGTGCCTTGTTTTTTATGTCCGGGCGAGCTGTGGGAGCTGTGCCTCGGCGTCACGGTCCGAGTCCTTCTCCTTGTCGACGTCATAGCCATAGCTGCTGAACCGCACCAGCAAGTCCTCCACATCAAGCTCCGCGGCATAGCTCCCCGCCGTGATCCTCGCATACATCTGTAACAGCACCACCGCGGCCAGCAGCGCCACGGGTATGATGGCCAGTGCGCCGTGGAGGCCATAGCCACGGGTATGCGCGGTGCAGAACTGCCCGATGAGTCGGCTGTTTGTCTGCCCCAGACACGTGTAGATTGCGGGGTAGCCGGCCCCGGGCCGGAGCGTGCTGAGGAGCGTCCCGGCGAGGGCGAGTAAGGGCAGGGGCAGCGCAGGAAGAGCAGCCGGGAGGAGAGCCCGGCGAGCGACCGGCGGCGGGTGGCCCCGGCGATCAGACTGGGACGTAGTTAGTTTACCGGAGATAAGATAGCACTGCTACTCACCCGGGGACGGAGAGCAGGAAGACGACGGTGAACGTCGCGGCCTGGAAGAAGAGCGCGATGCGGGGCCGCCCGGGAGCGGGTGCGCCCGGAGCCAGCCGACCTCGACCCAGCTGCCCACTGTGCCCGCGCCGGACGAGCGCAGCGTTTGGCTCCTCGGAGCGCTACACCTGTCAAAGGGCATCTCCTGGCCGCACAGAAAGAAGACGACGGTGAACGTCGCCGGACAGCAGCAGAGCAGGACGACTAGAAGGCGCGCACAGCCTCCCACGACACGTGCCGTTGACAGCGGCCTTCTGCCCACCATCTCCTTCTCGTCATGAACGACCGTCCTCAACATCTAGCTAGACAACCTGGAGCCCAACTCGTCGCTGCCCCCCTCTTGCCGTTGCCCGTGCTTTTACAACGGCGATAACGCAAGTGGCCAAACCCGCGACTTTCTCTCCCGCTCTCCGTCCGCGCTGCGCCAAATATCGCTGCAGAACAAGGTCAGCCGCTGTAAAACAGCCCCAGGACGGCAAGAACACCTACTAGTACAAGAACACGATGACTCACAACTCCAACGCCGTCAACGAGTCAATCTCAGGCCGCGGCAGCCTGGAAATACAAATCATCTTAGTCTGGCAACACGACGATATGAAGCGTGGAGGTTGGTGATGAAGAAGGGAGACTGGTTGAGCTGCAAAGGTGAGTGCGAATCTGCTGATTTGTTTCAGAAACAACTTACCGGCCTTCAGTTCGCGATTCGTGCTTGCCTGGTTGAGCAACGAAAGTGAGCGACCACCAACAAAACGTTGACTTACCCACTAATTTGTTTCAGAAGTCTCAGCCTCTTTGACCGCGACAAACTTCTGCCCGCCTCAAACGTCAGCTAGCGGCGGAGATGGGGAGGAGAATGGAATCAGTGGAGAAATGACTGGATACAGGTCAGTTTGGTGTCGTTTAGTTGAAGAATATTAACTGACTGTTTTTATATTGTTTGCATTCGCATTCGCGCGTGCCTGGTTGAGCGGCAACCGTGAGTGCGCGAACACCAGCAACGAGTTGAGACACTTACTGATTTGTTTTAGAGACCTTAAAGGAGTCTTGCCTTTGGGATCGTTCACGCCGCCTGGTTGAGCAACAACAATGAGCACGAACAGCAACAACGAGTTGACAGACTTAGTCATTTGTTCAAAAGCCTTTCGATGGCGGCTATTGGTGATGAGCGATCTTGCGAGCTCGTTTGCGCTTATTTGTTTGCACAACCAAGTATGAGGTGAGCAACAACTCTCGCTTGCGGGCTTGAGCTGAGCTATGTTAGATCTGCAAATGAAGTCAGTAAGTGGATATGATGCTGCGAATACTGACCAACGTGCCGGTCAACTCTGGACTCGGAACAGAATGCGGGAACGCCGCAGCCGACCTGGACGTGAAGACAAGGTAAACCAGGATGAATTGGAGAATAAGATGCTTACTAGCATTCGGTGTTGCTTGCGGGCTTGGTGTGGGACGAAACGAGGCCAGCGCAGACAACGCACAAGCACGTTGTATTTATCTGACAACGCGGTAAGCAAGATTGAATCCAAGTCAACGACAACTTACTTTCAATTTTATTCGCCAGCTAGGATGATGGAGGAAATGGATTGGACGACGAGTCCGCAAATCCGCCTTGTTCATAGACATCAGTACATGTTGTATTTGGTAGAAGTGAAATGAATCGCTCACCTTCTTCAAGTTTGCGCGTGCCGTCACATAGCTCGTGACTCGTCGCTTCTTCTTGCCCCTCATCCCGATCATCTGCGCTCGTGCAGCCAGCCTCTTTGACCACAACAGGCTTGCGCACGCCTCAAACGTCCGCTAGTGGTGGAGATGGAGGAGAATGGGAAGCTGCGGGGAGATGGGAGAGAAATGGCGGCGGGGAATCTGGCAAGCGGTGAGTCCGGCCCAGTTGGCCCCATTTGCTGCTTCTTCCCAGCCACGCCCAGCGTTCAGCGGCGACCTGGCCCGGCTGACCGCACCCTCTCCGGCCCAAATGGCAGCGCCAACCACCACTCCCTCAAATCTTATGCCGGCGGCTTACTTTTGACTCCGGCAACTCACGGCTACTGACTACTGGCTGGGACGACATGCTGCTGCTCGACCACTTGCGACCGCATGACTACGCCGGCCGGCCCCCTTGTCTGGGGGTCAGCGGCAAACTCGTCGTCCCCTCGTTTCGGACCACGACTGGGCCAGCGACAAACTGGTCTACAAGTCAATCATCAGGCGGCCGACTATTTGCCAACTCTAGTTTGGTTTCCGAATAACGGCCCGCGACACGTTGCGCTATGAGCAGTGCCGAGTCAGCCTCCAAAACTCTGGAGCTCGGCACGCTTTTCAGCTTGGGAGACGACTCGCTGGTCGGAAGCTGCCGAGCCCATCCCGAATTACAGAGCGCTACATGATCAGGTAAGCTCATATTTGTCCCCGCTGAACAAGTCCGCTTACCTGTCCATAAGCACGCCAACTGACTGTTGGAAGTCGTTCAGTCGACAACGAGCCTGTCGCCAATCGTTCTTACCAACGAACATGTCAACGAGCTCAATGCCCTTCCCGTCCATCAACTATCTCCCGCTCTTCCCTCTTGACGACAACAAAAAGTAAGCGCAACGTGCTATTATCATGTAAGTCCTGTTTTCTCAGTCCGTGGAACTCACTGATGATGAAATCCTCTCCAGAGCTCGCGACTGGCTTGGCACTGTAACGACAATGACGAATCGTTCAACGGCGAATCCAGAGGCCAACAACTATGGTACCGCTCGTTTGGGTTCCTGACCTCGCGAACATTTTGGGAGGTGGGCACTTGATTTTGCGGGGAAGGCGAGCCTAAAACGGTTAGTTATGCCTTCATTTCACCAGGAAACTCACCATTAAACAGTTTGGTCGTGCCGAATATGGAAGAAACTAGTGATTTGGCTGGAAGAAAGTGAGCCAAAGGTCTCATTTTTGCCAACACTAGTAAACTTACCATTAAACAGCGAGACTAAAACGGCAGCAATGTCAACGGACATAGCCACGAGCTCGCCGAAGCGACCGTCCTGCAACGCAGACAGGCTGCGCCGACAGGAACGACACGTCGGTGGTGAAGCCGCTGACACTAAGTACTTCGATTCAGGCCAACGCGACGAACCAAGCAGCTTTGCTGGTGAGTTTTGTAAATCCCTCAACGGGGCCATAACACAACTCGCCAATCTCTGCAGGACGACGATGAAATCTTGGCGCTGTAACGACAACGACGAGGAGCGAGGTCATTGGCCTCAAATCTTCTGGATAAGGTGAGATTGGGGATTGCACCAGAATGGATGATACCTACGACGCACAGTATCCGTCACGATGGACGACGACGAGCACACAGGTTTCAAGCTGGGAGACATGGTCAGTATCCAAATCAAGTGCCCAAATGGAAACTGACCTCGATACAGAGTGTTTGCGATGACGAACACGGCGATTTCATCGTCGTCTGGAAGGGCGTTGACACTGAGAGGAGCGACGAGCAATTGGGGGGACTGCTGTAGAACGACTTGTAGATTGATAGAAGATAATAATATTGAGGCAATGACAATGCGAGGGCAAGGGCAGTAGTGGGGTTGCAAGGGGAAGGATGGAGGGAGAGGAAAAGAAGGGGTGCTGTGTTGCTCGACACAAGTCAGGTCTTATATAGGCAGGATAAGCGAGCGGCGCACTTGTAAACATGTTCGCGTTGCGGCGGAATCAACAAACAAAAAAATTCACATGAAAACTTCCATCTATCAAGTGACGTTACCGCGGGCATGCACGCCGCCCGACAGTTTGTTGAGATGCAAATACGCGATTTCGTGTATTCCCGTTCCAACAACATTGCGCTGGCGGCCGCGGTCTGGCCACCCGATCATCGCGGGAATGTGTTTGGGGCTGTGGTACCTATCGTATGCGCCTGCCTCTGTCGTAATCAGAGCAAATTTGACTCCAGCAGAGGGTTATCTTGTTTCTTATTTACAACGAGAAAGAAGTGGGTTGTATGCAAGGGATAGCTGCGATGAAGGTGTGGATAACATTTATTCAAGCCGAACATTGTTTCCCACGCTCGGAATTGGGCGATCGGGGCTGAACTAGAGGGAAACCAGCAGTTGTTGGTACTGTTACCTTATCGGGATGCTATCTGGAGTGTGCTGAATCACCTCTCAGAACGTCCAGAAAGCGCAGAAAAATATAGTCAGTGTCACTGTTGGTCACGCTTCAATGTGGAGTACCTACGAACTTCACCTGAAAAAAATGGGGCCACCGTTCTAAACAAAAGGCACGAACAGCCTGTGGAAAAAGAGGCATAGTGACCGGCAGCGGCTAGGCCAAGAAGCGTTTGAAACTCTGTCCAGCCGGTATCATTTGATGTTACCACATCTGCCATACCCATAGCCGAC